GCTATACTTTTTGATAGCCGGGCACCATCAGCTTTCTTCGCCACCCTAGTCTACATTTTCATCTCTCTCCCTTCCTCCTCTTCCGTGAGGCCCCTCCGTTCCATCCAGGAGCTTCCTCTGTTCCTGGCTCCCCTTGCTTTGTGAGGCCTGTTCTTCCTCTTCCTAGTCTACCTGTGTTGTTCTGCTCTGCTTTCTAGAAGGTCCAGCTTACCTGCCAGCTGTTACTTGGTGTACATTCTCAGCACCTTTTCTTTGGGACTCTTCTGACCTTCCAAGCTGAAAGGTGCTATTACTACTGTTCCTTGTCCCATGTTCCTTTGCTGCCAGTCAGCTCTCCAGGGTGGGCACTGTTCTGTGTGCTCCGGTGCCTGTTGTCAGGCCTCACCCAGGCCAGGGTGCAGTGTGGGCGCAGCTCAAGTGAAAGCCTATGTTTTTTTCCCCCCTTTTTCCTTCAAGTTGGACTTTGACATTTTCAGTAAGCTTTTTCTTATCCCCTGAAAAAGACTTAGACATATATTTTCTCTATATAAAATGGCGTCTGGTGTTGAACATTGGTATGGTGTATAGGAACCAAAATAGCCTTAGGCAAGTGGAGCCCAGATGAAGGAAGGTTCTTCTAACTCTGGCGCCCCTCCTGGGAAGTGTGAGGAATCCCTTCAATATAGTCACTTGGCTCTGGGCAAGACATTTTGTGGAATCTCTCAGGGTGAAAAAACCCACCAAAATATGTATAACTTTGACTTCCTTCTGTGAATATTGATTCTGTAACCCTGAGCAGTGGTTCTCCCTCATGATTCTGCTTTTATGTCCGTCAGATGGGTGACCCATTCTGAACTGCTCTTGCTCCCACACACAGTATTCCTCCTCAGTGGGGGGGAAGTAGGCTCCGGAGGAGAAAATGGTCTGCTCTCCCCCCAGTGACGACCCCACTGAATCCATCATAGACATCAAGTAGCAGATAGATAACTTTCCATCCTGCCCTCCTGACATGATACACATACACGCTGTCCCAAAAGTAAGTACTTGAGATGGAAAAAATATGTAATACTTTAAAACGTTATTTTTTTTCTTTTTAACTTTCTATAAACTGGGAACTTAATTGCTTCCAAATGTGACATATGAGAGAAAGAACTGGGTATGGGAACATCTGATTCTAATCCTTTTAGTACTTTCATAATTGAGAACAAAGTTCAATTATCAGTCAGCTGTCCAAAATGCTGAAATTTTTTAAATGCTAAATGTTTTAAAATTAAAACATTGAAGATATTTTCCCCACTAAGGATTAAAATATTTCTAAGATGTATTATTTCTTTCTTAAGTAGGAGAGGAAACACATGATACAACATTCCTTTTTACATATGAAGTGCTTATAGCACTAACACTTCCCACCCTCCCCCCACCCCCCTGAAATCGCCTTACTCCTTCTGTTTCCTTGAAGCCAGTCTTCTGTGGAGGTCCTGGCTCTGTCTCCGCTCTACCTGGACCCATGCAGTTTCATTATGGGTTTTCTGTCTTCTCTCCAGCCCTGTCACAAATGTTCAGCAGCACATTCATCGGAAACTCACACTGAGCCATTTCCTCCCATTAGTGGGCAAGTCCACATTAGTTATCTTTGCAAATAGTGTTGACTGCTGAGGTCATACCACATAACTATTTTCCTTTCTTTTTTTCTTTCTGAGACTCAGAATTGGTTTATTGACAATGCCCCATGTTGTCCTCTGCTCTCAGAACAGAACCCAACCCAAGTCCCTGAGGTTGGCGTCTTAGCATGGCTCCCCTCCCTGCGGGAGGGCAGAGCAAGGACCCCCGCCTGCTCCCATCAGGCCGCCTTTGGGATGGGGAGATGCCTGAGCATCACACAGCACCACTGCAGGCGAGACTGTAGGGGTCACCTTTACTGGGGTCCAGAGATGGTGTGGCCCCCGTCTATTCTGAGGCCACTCTGGAACAGCCACCCAGGGAGGACAGTAAGCAGACCCAGACACACACTTTTGCTCCCCCTGCTTCAGGCTGTCCCCACCACTCCCCGAGATCCAGGCCACGGCAAAGGGGCTGGCAAGGAGGGAATGGGGAGGGGCCACATAACTATTTTTCAATACGTGGATGAAAGGTCTCCTAAGAGGAGGAAGGGCTGTGTTTACTCGCTGTTGAATCTCCAGCACAGAATATAGGACCTGTCACAAAGGATGGCCTCAGTACAGGTTCGTTGAGTGAATGAATGATGTGAGACTCGATGATAGAAACACATTGATCTTCCCCAAAGTGGGATACTGAAACCAGGGGTGGGGGTGGCATGGGCACTGAAATGATATTTTGTGTGTGTGTGTGTGTGTGTGTGGCGGGCTAAAGCAGATACCTACACCTTATCCTGGATTAAGGGCTAGAATGCAAAAGTTTTTAATTGCCAGAGGGACACAGAATGTTTTTTGTTTTTTCTGAAAAGGGAGCAGTAGGCTTGATAAGTTTAGGAACCTATGAATGCTCTCCAATAAAATAGTTACAAGTCACATGAGGTTATTTAAATCTAAATTAATTAAAGCAAAAAAAGAAAACCCTTCAGCTCCATTCTGAGAGCAACTACAGTCATTTCAAGTGCACAGTTGTTGCATGTGACTATTGGCTACCACATAGACTAGTACACCTTTGGCAATGCCAAAGGGTCGCTGACCTCTGCACTCTGGATGAATTCACCCTGTCATCCTGGTGTTTTGTTCGAGGCTTTTCTTACAGTTTCTCTTTTGGAGCGCCATCATGTATCCTACTTCAATTTGCTGTTTCTTATCTCTAACTCTCAGTGCGTCAAGTTTGTACTATAGCTGCTCATAATCCGTCATTTCTTCCAGAATCTCTAGTTTTAGATTGGAATTTAGAAAATTGCCACACCGATACATTCCAGATAACTGGAGAGGTTTTGTAAATGGTTTTCATCTTCTCCTGTGCGTAAGTGTTCTCCACAGCGACTGTACCCCTACTCGTGCCTTTCTCAGTACACACTCTCCTCTCTTCAGAGTAGATTTTGACTCCTGATTCCATTCTTTCTGCAGTTTGCAGTCTGTGCTCGAAGACCTCCTGGTGGCTACTTCTGATGGACTTCTTCATCTCATTCACTGGGCAGGCATGACAAACGGAAGGAAAGCCATTAATCTTTGCACAGTGCCCTTCTCCGTAGACCTGCAGTCATCCAGAGGTAATTACCCCTGGGGAGCACCTCGGAGCTACTATTTGAGATCATTGACATTAGCTCTTTCCCTCTGTCTGTGAGGAGGAAAGGATCATTCAGTTGCTCAGTATTGTTCGACTTATTGCTGCCCTTCGAACTGTCCTCACAGGGTTTGCAAAGAGGATGGAAGAGAGTGACTTGTGTTTGTTTTCATCAGCAGGTTCGTCCCTGGGCTTTGCGGGTGTATACATCAGAGATATGGAATACTGTGCCACGCTGGATGGGTTTGCCGTGGTGTTCAATGACGGCAGAGTGGGATTTATCACCCCGGTGTCAAGTAGATTCACTGCGGAGGTAGGGCTGACCCACCGACTGACTCTGCAGGCGTGTTTTCTTTATTTTGCATTCATCAGTTTTTCCCTTTGCCATTAACACAGGCAGCCTATTATCCTAACTTATTCAGGATTTTAGAGGTTGTTGTTAAATCCTTGTAAATCAGAACTACACATATAAATAATACTGATAGACAACTCTGTGGCATGTTGAATCAAAGCAGCAGTTCCTGTCCTTCCCTGCTCAGCTCACCCATTTTCAGAGGCAGCTATTTTCTCTCACTCCTTGGCCTAGTGATTTGTGTGTTTCTCTGCACCACTGGTTTTCATAAGACCCTGCAGTATGATCTGTCCTTGACTTTTACAGCAGCTTCATGGAGTGTGGCCCCAAGATGTTGTTGATGGAACATGTGTGGCTGTAAATAACAAGTATCGACTAATGGCATTTGGTTGTGCAAGGTAATTGAAAAAGACTTCTGTGTTTTGTTTTCACACATAAAATCCATGCCTTGCTTTAATCCATGTTAGATACAAAGGGTCTTCAAAAAGTTCAAGGAAAACTTCATAATCTTTCCATTCCTTTTTTTCAGGAACTCAGTTTGGTCACGTTCCAACACCTGTGTTCATGAGGGCATCTTGCACATGCTTTTCTTTGCCTTACTCTCCCTGTGAGGCTTTGACACCGACGCTGTGTGCCTCATAACAGGTTCAGGAGGGCTTCCCCTCTCCCTGCTCTTGTTCCTTATTATAGATGATAGAATTTGTTGTTGAAGCATCTTGACCCTGAATTTTCTTGGGTGGGAGTGTTTTAGACTACTAAATGGAGACCTTTTTTAAAAAAAAAAAAATAGCTAAAAGGATTTATATTTTCTATCCCTTCCTAAGTCAGTTTTTCTAGAAATTTGATTCTTTCACATGTAGTTCAAATGTATCTGCCCAAAGTGTATAATATCCTTAGTTACTGTATTGTGAAATAAAACTATTTAGAAGTGTACATAATCCAGTTTAACTAAACATTGTCATAGAAACATAACTAGATCCAGAAATAGAACTCTGCCAGAGTCCCGGCCCCAGGCTATTCGACTGAGGCTCCTCCTTTGCCCCTGCCACTCCCTGTCCTTGTGGTCATCAACCACTTGCTCTTCTCTGTGGTTTTACTACCTATATATGCATTCCTGGAGGTTCTAGTTAGCTTTTACCTAATTTTGATCTTTATGTTTTATATTTGGTGTCTCGCTTATGTGAGTCAGCATTGGTGGGGTTTTCCAGCAGCTGTGTGTATTCATTGGTTTGAATTGATTTGCAGTTCAATCCCGGTGAGTGAACCCACCCTAATTATCCACTCTGCTGTTGATGGGCGTGTGTGTCGTCTCTCGGTTTGGTGCTGTTGTGATCAGTGGTCCTTTTGCCCACCTCTCTGTATCTCGTAGCACATAAGAGGGGTCTTCAAAAAGGCTCATAGAAGAATGCCCTTATCTTTTCATTCCATTTTTGCATGAACTTTTTGAAGCCCTCCTCGTATGCAAGAGTTCTCTTTCAGGTCTAATTAATAGTGTCTTCCTGGCTCACAGGGAATGTGGGTACTTAATAACGCCAACCCATTTTCCACACCTACCCACCTGCTCTGTGCGAGGCGGGAGAACTGCAGAGCACGTGGCCAGGTTGGCAGATGTCCTCCGAGCTTTAGTGGGTCAGTCTTCAGCTTACCTCTCCTGGCTCCCCCTGCACAGACACTCATCCCAGGGGGTAACTGTCTTGCCCACTCACTGACACTTTTCTGAGGTTACTCGATTGCATGCATTCTTTTTTGTTTATTTTGTTCCCCAATGGGATGGTTCTGTACTACTATAGAGAACTATACGAGCATTCGTGTTGCTTATTTTATTTAGCTTTTTAAATGGCAGTGGCGTTTGAGCCCATAGGAAAAGTGAACAAGGAGTGTGCAGAACCCCACGTTCCGAGCGTTAGGCTGAGTCTCAAGTTCCGAGCCCTTTTCACCCCCACCTCGCCTCTCTTACATGCACATGCACACAAGGGGTTGAAGTAAGTTGTCAAGCAATAAACTTATGATTTTGGTTTCTGAGAGTCAGTAATTATTTAGCTGGGGGCAGGACTGGGTTGGGGGGGCGTTCTGGGCCCGGGTCTCCGGTGAGTCCAGTGCTCCAGCAAGGCTGCCTTCACCTCAGGGCTTGCCTGAGACTCAGGAGCCCACCTCCATGCTCACTCAGTCATGGGGCTGGCTTCACCCAGAGCTAGTGGCCCAAGTGGCCCTGGAAGGAAGCTGCCACCTTTGAAACTCTTTCTGTTGTCTGCTGTTGGGCAATCAATCACCCGACCCTGGCACAACACGGGGGGCTGAAATGTGAGAGAAGCATTTGCTCAAGTGGATGAGATGACTGCAGATTTTTTACAAAGGGGTTCTGTTCTGTTCCCCTCTAAACTTTCACCCGCCAAATACGATGTTGCCTTGTAATACGTTTATATTTTGTATGCCTTTACTCACACACACACCACCAATTCGTTTTCTTAAATTCTGTTTGTCCCCACAGTGGTTCTGTGCAGGTTTACACCATCGATAACACCACGGGCGCCATGCTGCTCTCTCATAAACTAGAGCTGACTGCAAAGCAATATCCTGGTGAGCAACCCCTCGCCTTTAATTTAATTTTTAAAATGTTGTGAATGCAGATTTTAACATAAGTGATGCATAGGTCACATGATATTACTTACATGCCATTCCAGGTGGCTAAGGATTTCTGAGTCAGTAGGGAGAGTCCTGTGATTTGCATTTTATCCTGTCATTTTGCCCTCTCCCTCCTCGATGTTGTAGCCACTCATTGAGGGCCTTCCTCTTGTTCTCTGCCCCTTCACTTTACCAAGCAATGATGCCCTTCCACAAGTCCAAAGTACGTGAGGCGCCATCTTCACCTGTAAGGGGCTGTCTGGCCATAATTCTCCCAGGCCCATGTGAAGTCGTGCCTTTCTGTAGAAATGAGGTTGTAGACTGAAAAATGCTAAGTATATCTGAAGCAGTGCTTTAATTTGAATCCCTTTTATGATTCCTGAACAGACATTTGGAACAAAACTGGAGCTGTTAAACTGATCAGATGGTCTCCTGACAGCAGTGTTGTCACAGTGACCTGGGACTACGGGGGCCTCTCCTTATGGAGTGTGTTTGGAGCCCAGCTCGTTTGTACGCTCGGAGGGGATTTCGCGTGAGTGAACTGCCAGCAATCCGAGATGAAGGAACGTGATGAACCCCCAGTCAGTAAAGGCACACACACGTTTTGTGGCATAGAGCTACCCTTCTTACTTCATTTGACAGTTATCCCAAAATAATTCGTTAAGTTCAGGATGTATTGATTTTCCAAATGTCCATCTACTTAAAGCTGGCGGTTAATTGAATAATGTGTATTTATGGAAGCCCTGCTGTCTCTGTGTGACATGTTGGTCTCCAGGTGCTTGTCACTCAGTGAGAAGGGAGGTAGCCTGTCCACACAGAACTGTTTGCAGGTGGAACGTTACAAGGTCTCGTTAATAGGTTGCTGTCTCGGCCCACTTCTGTATTATCCTGAACGGCAATCCTGCGGGAATTAAACACAGCTTCCAAGACCACAGGCCCTGGTCCAGAGTCATTATTAATGCACTTCTGTTTTGAAGGAGCGCCACCAATTTGATTTTTAAAAATCAAACCAAGTATTCATGTGCGTTATGTATGATTAAAGGCACCCTGGTGACACAGTGATGAAGTGCTCGGCAGCCATTGGAAGTGGCCTGCCACTCTGTGGGGGAAAGATGTGAAGCACAGCTGTGGGGACCACGGGCAGTTCTGCTCTGGCCTACAGACTTCCTCCAGTCAGCCGCCTCAGGGCTCCGAGCTTGGGGCTTTCACCTTCTCTTTGTCTTTGACACGTGGCATGAGAAGACTCTTAAATTGTCCATGTTCTCTTTCAGTTACAGGTCTGATGGTACCAAAAAAGAGCCCCTTCAGATCAGTTCTATGGTAAGCAGTTTCTATTTCTGTAAACAACTGTGAGGAACTTGAGCTTCCCTTTTTCTCCTGTTGGTCTTGATGTCGCAAAGTTATTCCAGTTTCTTTTAAATGAGAGGCAGATTCTTATGCAGAGTTTGCTTTGATAGAAGTGTTTTTTTTTAATTAAAAGCTCATTTTATTGGGGGCTCTTACAGCATATTTGTACATGTGTTGCCATCATTGCTTTCTAGACATTTACTCTCTATTGAGCCCTTGGTATCAGCTTCTCTTCCCACCCACCCTCCTCGTTACCCCTTGATAAATGATAAACTCTTATTTTCATATCTTCCACCAACCACTTTCGCCCTTCCCCCACAGTTTCTGTTGTGCGTCCCCCTGGCGGGTGTGGGGGTGGTTACGTGTTGATCGGTTCCCTCATCCTCCTCACCTCACCTTTCCCTACCCTTCTGGTATCGCTACTCCCATTCCTGCTCCTAGATTTCATGGGTCTTAGCTCGTATCTTTTATCCGTACCTGTGCACGTGCTCCGGTCTAGCCCGCAGTGAAAGGCAGGACTGGGGTCATGATAGTGGGGGGTGAGGAAGCCTCAAGGAACCACAGTAATATCATCGGTGCGTTACTGCGCCCTGGTTGACTCATGCCTTCTGTGAGGGGCTGTCTTAAGAAATGGGAGGTTGCCCTATAGACCGTCTTTGATTTTGGTTTTGCTTAGCTGTGTCTAGCAGGCCACCGTCACCTTGGTGAAAGTGATGACAGTTCCAATGGGGGCTTTCTGTTTTCAAAGCACACTGCCCTTCCATGTGAGGGCCTCGGGCTGACCCAGCCACCGCACTGCCTCTCTGGCAGCGCATGGCGAGGGCACGCTGTTGGCTCTCCTGTCAGCACACGTGCGCTCTGTTCTCTGAGGGTGCTGTGGAAACCCTCCATCGATGTATGCCTGAGAGACTTAACAGTCGCTGTTCTAAATTTTAACTTATCACCTGCTTTCCAGAGTTTCTGTAGCAAACAATGAGGTGGCCTCTGCCCTTACAGAAAGTGACATTTTCTTAAAGGAAACCCTCAGGGAGTGTGCTTGAGAACGTGGCTGTGGAGCTCCCCCCTGCATTCCCATCTGCCACAGAAAAGGGGCAATTTCTGAACATGGATTTTTTGCAGTTACAGCCACCTCATACGCGCTTCCTGAGCACTCACCACTACAGCCCCTCCTCATGGTTCTCATTGTAAAGGGGGTTTTCCACCAAGCAGCATTTATGTAACTGCCTGACGCTGATCCTGAATGGCTATCATAACCACAATTAGCAGCCTCAACGTGTTCGTGGTTTCAGTCACAAACTGCAGAATTTAAGCATTTTGCTTAGCCTGTGCAACATTGCCATGGGAAAACTGAACTCTCTCTTATGCCTTTAGGACGTTTGCAGCCTTTGACAGACTCCCATTGCTATTATCTTGGCTTCCATATTAAAAATGACTCATCTTGAAAATACTCTCATGGATTCTAGACGCAGAACATTAAAATTAACTAGAGCTCGAACAATGTATTTGAACCATTACAATTGAACAAAAGTGCTTAATGCCCTGAGAACAGCTTAGCCCAGGTAACAGCACAGTGTGGAGGCCAGCGTAGTGTGAAGACCCCGTCTCACACCTTCCTTCCCAGTGGCCTTGGCTCAGTGCACAACTGTGTCTATGTTGGTGCTGTTGTCCGGCACAGCCAGGTTACCTGTGCCTCCATGTGAAGAACGTCTTTGCTCGTGAGAGGCAGTCAAGTAATTTTCAGTGAAGTTAGAGCAGCAGGCTTTTCTTAGGACTGAGATCCTAGGAGTCTCAGGATCCTAAACTTAAGAATGCCATGCTTTGTGTCCTCTCTTCTCTGCAGAAAGCAGTGACTGGCTGCCTCAGAGGCAGCAGGGACAGACGTGACTAGTCGGCCTCCAGTGTACCCAGTTTCCAGGGCCTTTGGGAGTCCTCCCGAGTGCTGCTGCTGGTGTTTTTGTGTTGTTTTCAGAATTTGAATGTTCGACGCTAGGAAAGGATACCGACGTTTCATCACGTCGGTCTGTTGTCCTCTTCTCCCTCCCTTCCCCTCCAGAGCTGGGGTGCTGAAGGTTATCACCTGTGGGTGGTCGGTGGCTTCGGTTCTCAGAACTCTGAAGCGGAGCCTGACCTCAGGAACGTAGCTCGGCAGCCTGGCATCTTGCTCTTCCAGTTTCTCAAGAGTGTGCTCGCCATCAACCCGTGTATGGTAAGTGCAGTAACATTGGTTTTGTTGCTGTCTTTTGTTGTTTCTTAATGGCTTTTTTCAGACTTTTCTTGATAACTCTGTTGAGTATACTCAACAAATTTGGTATATCATCCTTTGTGTTGGGTTTGTTGTGGTGTGCTGGCGTGCATGTTGTGATGATGGAAGCTATGCTCCTGGTATTTCAAATGCCAGCAGGGTCGCCCGTGGTAAACAGGTTGCAGTGGAATTCCAGACTAGGAAGGAGAAATAGACTGAAAAACCTTAGGAACAGCAGCAGAACATTGCTTGACAAGAGTGGCGGACATGAGTCCCGCAGGTCAGAAGGCACTCAAAATGAGAGAGAGGAGGGGCGCTGCCTCCTCTACCCTAATGACACGGATGGAATAAAGCTTTGGGACCTTCATTTGCATGACTCACAAGGAGAAGAAATGCCTGCATCTGTCCTTTCATCATCGGAATGTGGAATACATGGAGTATGACTCAAGGAGCAGTGGAAGTTCTCAAAAATGAAATGGAGCACATAAAGATTGATAGCCTAGGCATGAGAGAGCTGAAGTGGACTGGTGTCGGCTCTTTTTAACACGGCCATCTTGGTTTTCTATGCCAGGAAAGACAAATTCAGAGGAGTAGTGTTATATCCAACATCCAAAAGAACATCTCGTCATCTGTCTTTTAAGTACAGCGTCATCTGTGGTTGGATAATATCTACCATCTTCAAGCAGCCGGTTAATGCAACTGTGCTTCATCAAATGTGTGCACCAATCCCAAAAGCCAGTGATGAAAAAATTGAAAATGTACCAGGTTCTCCAGTCTGAAATTGACTAGCCATGCAGTCAAGATGCATTGGTAATTACTGGTGATTAGAATGGAAAAGGTGGAAACAAAGGGGAAGGATCAGTAATTGGAAAATATGATATGGCCTTGGATAGAAAGGAAGCTGGAGATCACATGATAGGATTTTGTAAGACCAGTGACTTCCTAGCAAATACCTTTTCCCCAAAAGATAAATGGGGACTACACACGTGGCTCTCAGCAGACAGAACACACAGATTCAAATCGACATCTGTGGGAAGACAACAACGCTCGGGACCATCAGCCAGAAAGGCCACAGGCCACCTGTGGAACAGAGCACCCATCCTCAGTGCAACTTCAGGTTGGAGCAGGATGAAATGTACAACAAGTCCACAAGAGCCAAAATACAGCCTTGAGTGTATCAGACCGGAATGTAGAGAATAGCTTGAGAACAGATTCGACACATTGAACACTAATAACAGTGATGGCCAAAGACCAGGGGAGTTGTGGGATGGCATCAAGATCATTATAAATGAAGAGAGCAAAGGTCATTTAAAAACAAAACAGGAAAAGACCAAAGTGGATGTCAGAAGAGATGGAACCTTGCTGTTTGGTGTAGGTAGCCAAAGCAAACGAAAGCATGACGACGGAAAATGCTGAACGGAAAAAGTCAAAAGGTGCCTCGGGAACGCCGAGTGAAACATGATAAGGAAATATGCAAAGACCTGAAATTAGACAACCAAAAAAGAATGGCACACTCAACATTTGTCAAACGGAAAGAACTCAAGGGGGAAAACAAACAGCTTCATATTGCTGTAATGAAGATTCTGTGAGCAAAATATTGAATGATTCAGGAAACATCAAAAGAAAATGGAAGGAAATGCACAGAATCACGGCACCAAAAAGACTTTGTCCACATCAACCATTCCAACTGTCTGGTCAACTGCAGGAATCGGTCCAAACTGTCCTACTGGCATGAACAGAAAACAAGGCTCCAGGAATTGCTCAGTGGCGGACTGCAAACAAGTTCTCTCAGTAATACCCTGGTCTTCATCTCACGGTACCTTCAGAAAACAGGGTCCAATCAGAACAGTGGCCTCCACTGGGATCTGCTGTGAGCCAGTTAAACTTAAGGCAGGAAGGTCAGCTCAGAAGGTTGTGCCCACTATTCGGGGGGAATCGTAAAGGAGTAATCTTGATAGATTTTTCTCAAAGGCCACAGGACGAGCACGGGGCTATGAAGCAGTGTTAAGAAAATGGAAACTTGCATTGGTGAGAGAAAGCCAGCAAAGAGGACTTTTGTTTTTTTCCCCATCACGACAATCACCTGCTCATTCTTCAGGGTCGCAAGGGTGGTCCTGGAAGAAGTTCCGTGGGAAAGCTGACTCCATCCACCCTCTGGTTCTCGTCTTGGCCTTTCAGACTTCTTGTTGTCCTGCAGAAAGTTTGAGCCTCAAGGTTGCCAGAGCTGTAACCCTGTGGTGTCAATCGGAGAGTTCAGAACCCTTGGGGAAAGAGTCAGAGCACAGCTTCCCAAACTTATTTGGCCTACTGCCCCCCTTATCAGGAAAAGAAAATCCTCAGCGCCCCCTGGCAATTGAAACTTTCTTGTAACCCATTATCCTGGATAAAGTGTAGATGTTCATTTCGGCAGCTCCTGACTCATTATAGCGTCCCCAGGAGGCACCATCGCTCACTTTGGGAAACCCTGTCTTCAGAAGTGCATAGACCTGAATGGAGACTCTGTCAAGATACAGTAGCTTCAGGTTTGGGTATTTTTGTGTAATAAAGGTTCCTGTGATCTTGTAGCAGTACTCTTTGACCTGCCCCCGTTGTCCTGTAGAGTCGGAGTGGGCGTGTTCCTAGCTCCCCGTGCGAGACTCCCCTCCAGGTGTGTCATGTTGACTTGCTTTCTTTCTTTGCCCTCGTTTCCTCCTGGGTCTCGTCCAGAGCAACCAAGAGCAGGTGCTGCTGCAGGGGGAAGACCGCTTGTACTTGAACTGCGGGGAGGCCTCCCAGGGCCAGAGTCCCCGGGGCTCCTCCGTCCACCCCAAGCATGCACTCCAGCAGGAGAAGAGCCCATTTGCCGAGGGAGGTTTAGAGTCTCCGGGTTTAAGCGCGTTGCTTGGGCATCGGCACTGGCACGTTGTACAGGTAAGTCTTCAGTTACTGATCCCTGTTGATTTCGCTGTAGGTAAGCTGTCAGCCCAAGCAGATTCTGAAATGTTTCAACTGTTGCATCAGAACACTGAGACTCTAACCTCTGTGCTGTGGTGTCTCCTCTGCTTTCCTGTGTCCTTCTCCTTGCACGTCTTCTCTGTCCGCACGATCTTTCCTCTGGCTGGAGAGCATGTCCCCACCATTAGTGGAAGTGTCTGGTTTTGTCCTCACTAAGCAAACCTTTGTGTAGTCTTTCAGCCTCTGTGTTGTATAAATGTCACCCTGGGGCTTGCCTGGGTGGATGCGAGCTCATTTTGAGGACAAGGAGCCATGTCAAGTAGAACCTTGTGTAGCTGGCCTGGCCGTCCCAGTGGGCCCAGCTAGGTTACCTCCCCAACTTTAGACCTGAACTCCTGGCTTAATCAATCTTGCATTTTATGCTAACAATTGTAGTTATTACTTAATCTTGTTCCGAAGTATTTGCTCATTCGAACACTGTAACTTCTCAAATGAACAGTGCCTTTGAGTAATTTGATCAACTAGAAGTCAGTCCTGAATTTTGATACAAAAGAAAATTACTATGGGGAAGTGAATAAACTCATTTTTCTGAAAGAAGCTTGCATTTCATTGTTTCAACGATCCCAGTGTCATGCTCCTCTCTCCTTTGACACCTCAGTACCCTTGGTCCGTGAGAGCCTCCTCCTGGGTTTGTGTTTCCCTCTCTTCTTTCCCTCACTTCTACTCAGTCTGCTCACCTTGTCAGGAGGGCTCAACAACCGTTTGATTGCTCGTCGACTCTGAGGGGAGGTGTAAATGTGAGACAGGAGAAATGTTCATTATTTGGAAGATGGAAGGAAGAACTATTTCCTATACTGACATGTGGTATACACTGAAAGAGAATGTGTTTAACTTACATTAATAAAGTCATAAAAATCAAATAATGTACAGGCCATGTTATAATTAGTAACAGATAATAAATAAAACTGCATCTGCTGCTTCCTTGACTAAAATTTTCCACTGCTCCCTTCTCTCCTATAGCCATTTCTCTGCTATTTTCATTCCCCCATACTTTGAACTATTCATTCTCCACTGACCTAGCGTCCATGCCAGTTCTGCCTAGCCAGGTCTGTGTTGCCCACGAGCCAAGTAGAGCAGAGGACCCAAGAAGGTAGGTCTGCAACTCAACAAAAGTGCATTTCCCTCCAGCTCAGAGATTCAGTGCTGCTCGGTGATCTACGAAGCATCCCAATAAGGCACGCCGAAGAATGGTTTTAGGAGTTTACCCAAGTCTCCTGTCAGCCTTCTCTGTAGGGAGCTAAAGTTATTTGGGAAGTGGAGTTAGATTAACACTGGCTTTACAAACCATTTGTTTACTTCTTTTTTTCAGTTTTCAGAAAACTATTAAAAATAACGCCACGGTTGTACTTCGAGACCTTTATTAAGTGGACTCGAAAAGGCTGTGGAGCTGGAAGGACTTAGAGCTCATCTCCTCAAACTAGATTCTCTACACGAGAAAACAGGCTCCCAAGTCATTAGATGGCCTGCCCAAGGTCACACATAGCTGCATAGTGACAGCATTGCCCTTATGACCACATAGATTAAAGTAGCAGCCTAATCTGTTGTAAAACTGAGCTTCAAAGTGTCGTGTGGAATCACGGCCGCGCTGAGCTGAACGGAGGGTTTGCCCCTCTCTGGGTTGGAGTTTCTTCTACTTGGTTTCCTGGCACTGCCGGCAGCCATGGAGTAGGTTCCAACTCCCAGCGACCCTTGGGGGTTTCCAAGGCTGAGAGAGCAAATAGCCTCGTCTTTGCCCCATGCAGCGATTGATGGGTTTGAACCACCAACCTTGTACTAAGCACTCCACTGTTTACCCACAGTGCCACCAGGACTGGCGCTGCAACCCCTCATTCAGTATCGCACTGGGGAACTGTGATAAAGCTACTGCTTTATCTCCAGGCATTGAACCTTGCTCAGTGAATCCCTAAAGAAACCTGGGTGGCTGCTTTCAGTTCCCCTGCAGGGCAGTCTTGTCTTAGTTGAGTGCCTTGTCCACTGTCGGGGGTGGGGGGAGGGGCATCTTGGTTGGCAAGGTCTGTGCTCTAGTTTCTTCTCTAGAAGATTCTCGTTCCCAAACACAAGCGAGCATGTACCAGGCAAAAGCAGGCGTAGGATCTGGCACTGGAGAAAGTGGCTTGCCCACCTTTATTTGTTGTTGTTGTAGTTTTTCCAGCTCTCTTTTTAATTTCAAAAGTGGTTTTTGACAGATGGAGCCCCGTAATGTGAAATTAAAAACAAAACCCCTCTGGCTCTGTGGCTCTGTGTCATTTGGGACTGGCGCTCGTAGTTTTGCTGCGCGGCCTTCTGCTGAGAAGGTGTCCGTGGTGTCATCCCCGCCGAGGGTCTGGCTTTCGCGGTCTCCTGTACCTGAACTTCTCCAAAGGTGGAGAGACTGAGTGTCAAGGAGCGTGTGTGGGACTTTGAAGTCAGCATGTTGAGTCTCCTCTCTCTGTTGAAGTACTCAACTCTGAACCAAAAGTTTGGCAGTTCAAGCCCAGGCAGAGGTCCCTGTGGGCAGTCTGCTCCCAGGAGATCACAGTCTTGAGACAGCGCACAGTAAGGAGAGTCTTCAAAAGCCTTTTTAATTGTAGCTAATTTGGTCTCAGATGCCTTACAAAGTGCATCAAACAGGCCAGGTATGCTCAGCTTAGCTCATCCACAGGCAGAGTGGCGCCCGTAGCTTAGCAGCTCAAGACAAAGCCAGTAATGGATTGTGGCAATAATGGTATAGCACTTCTCGATGTGACTGAATTATTGAGTTGTATGACATTGGATGAAGTGCTCATCAAATTGTTAATAAAAACAAAGTTAGACAAAGCTAGTGTGGGCAGGACACAGGGCTCTAACAGAATGATTTTTTAAAAATCATGGTCAGTTCACGGTCTTCAAGAAAACGGCAAAGCCATCACTCATTAAGACGGGTTCAGATGCCATGCCCCGGCAGGTAGCCCATGGGGTAACACACATTGTGCCCTGGATAGGCGATGTGGCCTGGTGGATGGATTTCTTCACCACCTGGGAGCTGCCTTTCTTCACTTCTCCCCTCACTTGTTGGTGTTGGAGATGGAGCTCCAAGTCCACGTGCCTCATCAGCATGAGCTACTGGGAAAGACCTGTTCCCTCCTAGGGTCATCCCAGTGCACCTCAGACCACTGCTGGGGACATGGCTTCATTTTAACTTTCTACCTTGGGTGTGGAGGGAAGCCATTTGCCCTTTGTGAGACCCACACCTGAGTATGATGGTATGCTGCAGCTCTGCACGGCTTGCCCTGCCGAGAACCAAGCCCACAGCCACTCTGTGTTTCCGACTGCTGACAGCTGGGGGAGGGACAGCTGGGCCTGGTTGGCACCCTGGTGGGTAACTGGTGCAGGCTTACTCAGGCACCGATTACTTCAAGTGAATCCGCTTCCTTTCTTCTGCTTCTTCAGAGAATTCCACTTAGCACCTCCTCGAAAGTGGTTTTCAACTTTCACTTTGCCTTCCAAATCGGTACCTCCGCACTAACTTCACCCATCAGAGTGAACATTTACCCATCGGCTTAAATGGTCCATCCTGTCTGTTAACTCATCCCAGAGGGCACTCACAAGAGTCAGGGACCCTGTGATAGCTCCATTTCTGCATGGTGACCATCCACAAACGCCCCCAGGTTATCAGCTTCTCGTGGACCAAAAGCCTTTCCTCTACTTGGCTTTGAAATTGACTTAAGAGCTAAGAAATGAAGTGTAACCGATAGTTCAGTGGACAAATTCTATCAAGGTTGATTGTTTTATTTTGTTTCCACATTACCCACAGAATATTTTTGGAATTGATTGCCCTTGGCCTTTTTCATTGGACTTTCTTTTCTTGAACATGTTACCATTTTCTTTGAGTAAAATGCAAGAAATTGGAGTAAATTGAAGCTTCTCTTCTTCCAGGAACAGAAGGCTGGCTCTTGCTTTGTTCTATTGCTTCTCACACTGTTCTCGACATACACGGACACAAACTAAGGACCCTCATAGGCCAGTAAAGCTGAAACTTCCTTCATCTACCTGGCTGTCCCATTAGGGAGTCTTCACATTTGGCTTCTTGTTAGAAAGACACCAAGTACAGAGATGTGAGACTGCGTGGGACAAGAGATGTGCTAGTTAACGTTGCAAATGTCAGAGATGAAGAGTTCTCTTAAGTCAGTTGGACACCCCAGTAGAAAAATAGTAGCCTGGCACATCCTCTAGTGTATGTGGACAGTGCATCGGGAGAGAAGAGGCGAAACTAGCCAGTGATTGCCCTGGAGCAGTCATAAAATGGGAGAATCGTCTATATGGTTCTTCGTACATGTTTATGGTGTTAACATTTTTGTGAGCACATAATGCTTTTTTAATCAGGAAAACGTAACAGTTATAAAAATTTCCATTCAATAGGCTGTTTTAGAACAGCCCAGCTCAGCGAGCCCACAGTGTGCCATGGGCGCCAAGACAGGGCTGTCCGGGGGTGCTTTTCTAAAGCGTCCTTGTCTGTGTATCGAATGGTCAGTGTGTAACATAAACCAAGCAAAGCAGCGTGGGGAAGGAGGGTGGCCAGTGCTCTAGAAACTTCCAAAGACACAAGCTATGAACTGGCCTACAAATGTTAGATCCCAAGGGTTTGCTTGCAATCCCATCAACGAGGGGCCCTTTAAAACATCGTTTAGGAAAAGAACACTTGTACTCCGTTGAAGCTTTCAGTGCTTTCCATGTGAGTGGGTTTCAAAAGTCTGACCAACCTGGTGTGTTGTTTTCTTTAGATCTCAAGCACCTATCTAGAGAGCAATTGGCCTATACGGGTGAGTTGTCTTTTGTTCGGTTAACTTTATATTGGTTAGCATATGCACCAAGAGGCATTTCAGGGATTGAACCCTTTAACCAGGTGTACTGATAAGAGTAAAGCTTAACTAGTCGAGTGATTAGCGTATTGGCATCTATAATTTTGTCACCTATAAGCTCCTGGTAATTACAAGGCTTCACGCTTTGTTGTACTGTACATAAGTTTGCAAAGATGAGTTCATTTTTTCCTTTTTTAAAACAGTTTTCAGCAATTGATAAGCTGGGGCAGAACATTGCAGTGGTTGGCAAGTTTGGCTTTGCACACTACTCGTTACTCACCAAAAAGTGGAAACTCTTTGGAAACATTACCCAGGTAGGTGTCTTTTGAAATTAAAAATTAAAGAGAGCTATAACATGAAGTGTAGCTACGTAGTTAGCCACTATTGGCTGGTTTTAAAAATAAATAAGAAGTGACAGGGAAGTTATATCCAAAAGTTGATTCTGTTAATGTTCTTGATATTTGATAAAGGCTCTTGGATTGAAATTGTGAGTGCATTTTCTTCCTGCTAAGGTTCTATGGCTTGGGGTGTACACTTCCATTCCAGGTGGAGTGCCATCAAAGGTGATCAGAGTAAACCCACACAGTTTGAGACGATTCCTTGCTTGTGTGTGAGAGAGCGAGAGATGAACCTCATATCTGAGTAGTACACATGTCTGTGCAGCTGGATTTTGTGAGGAAGAAATGGGAACCGAGAAGAAATTTAGTTGATGTTTGCTGTATACCCGGGACTTGCCAGCACTTTATAGGTTGTCTCCCTAATCTCTCTAACAACCAGGGAGCGCTGTCCTGCTATGATTTTATAAAAGAGAACCTAGGATTCAGGGTCACCCGCTGGTAATGAGAAAGCCAAAGTTTAACCCTTGCTCTGTTGGATATATGGAGTCCTAGGGGTGCAGTGGGCTAAGCATTGGGGTGATAACCTCAGGTTAGGGGTGCAACCCCACCAACCTCCCAGTAGGAGAAAGATGAGCCCGCCTGCTCCTGTAAGGACTGACAGCCCGGGAAACCCTAAGGAGCAGTGCTGCTCTGTCCCTTCGGGCTAGTCTGCGTTAGGGTTGACCCACTGGCCGTGGGTTTCAGGGTTTGGATTTGTCTTTTTTTCTATCAGATGTGGAAATAATAAAGATATACAGTATGCAGCTGTGTCAAATGATGTGTCTTCTATTTTCTAGAAATGGTTATTTTTTAAAATAGGGCCTGAATTGCTATTCATAAAGGTCTTATAATAATACTTAGTTGAACAGAGAACAGTAGAACAGAAATAATTAGAGCTTTCATTGTCATTGAATACTTTATAAATGTATCACTTTCTTGTAATATCCGATAGCATAAATAAGGTGTTTTTTTGTTCTTCTTCTTCTTCTTTTAAGGAACAAAATATGGTTGTGACAGGAGGCCTGGCCTGGTGGAATGAGTTCATTGTCCTTGCATGTTACAGCATAAGTGACCGTCAAGAAGAGGTAAAAGGAGAAGAAAATGATTTTCTCAGAAATAACATTTTCACATTAGAAAGATATTAGGCATTGTTTAGTTTTTAATTAAAATTCATCTATTGAAAATTAAACAACAAAATGTAAATTTTGAATAGAGGGTTTGATGTTTGATAACAGAATTTGCATTTCAGGTTAGTCTTGTGGGTTAAATTTTCTAAAGTGATGATCAGGACTTCTAAAATAGCTTCTTTTAAACATTGCAGCTGTTGGACAATCTTATATGAATTAAAAATTAAGGAATAAACGGTCACAGTAGAAAAGTAATGTAAGGGTGGTTGACCTTATTGATTCTGCACTGGTCTGAAAGTTTGGAGTTAGAGAAACTGCTGTCTTGGGTCTGAAAGGGATCATCAGTCACGGGGCAGTCACAGTTGAGACTGTTTCCTCTCTTGGTCATCGGTAGAATGGGTTAGCCTCCCCAAAGGGAAGCATCCCCACCCTCCTCCAGCTCAGCTCGGTCCTGTCCTTCTTCTTGACAAGAGTCCGTGCGTGGAAACAGCATATTTTACAGTGGGGAGCATCGTGGGGTGCCACTCGTTCTTACTGTCTCCTGTGTTTTGTTCTCTTCAGCTGCGTGTGTACCTGCGGACATCGAATCTGGACAATGCATTTGCGCATGTCACCAAAGCCCCAGCAGAAACCTTGCTGCTGAGTGTCTTCCGGGACATGGTGACCGTGTTCCGAGCAGACTGTTCTATATGCCTCTACAGTATTGAAAGGCGAGCCGACGGGTGAGGATGGCCGATGATGAGCCTCTGTTGGCCTGTTTGCCGAGTTTCCGCTCTGGTTTCCTGGTCTCACTCTCTGTTATTCTCCGGGTATCATCTCCTTTGTCACTGGAGTTGAAAGGCAGGAGAGTTAAACAGTGACAATAACAATACATTGTTTTCTAGCTGAAAAAATTAAAATAGCGTCAAGTAACTTCTTCTACCAGGCTTCCTGGGTTTATTTTTTGGGGGAAAAAACTAGTTAGAGTTGAGTTCAACCCATAGATAGTATTTTTTTTTCCTCCCCACTACCTTGAAAACAGTGCTCACTGTCCCCGTGCTCAGACCCCCGGGGACCTGCCCAAGTGATGCCCTGCTCTCAGGCCTCTCTCTCTCACTCCCCTTCCGATATGGCCGAGAGGTGGCAGGTGACAAGCACCCTTGGTCCTGGTGCTGCCGGGTTCCTCGCAGCATTTAGACCACAGCGCTGGAGTTTCATGCTGCGTTCCTCGTGACTTTAACTGCCCAGAACCGCATGGTTGCTGGAGTGGAAGAGCGGAGACAAAAGTGACAAAGTCTCCAGCTCAGACTCCCCGTCCTTTCTCAACCACCTGGCTTTTCCCTCAGATCCTTTTACTGGAGCTTCTCTAGTTGTGTTGTGTTCCCCCCTCCTTTTTCTTCTTGTTTTCTTCCCCCCTCATCTGATCCCACAACCCAGCGGGCCTGTTGCTTGAAGGGGTTGGGAAGAGAGGCCTGGAGTCGGCGATGCCAGGTGGTCCTTCCCTGTGACATCTGTGAGGCTGGCTGCCACTCACCGCTGGGAAGGGAAGGGGTTGTGCGAGCACAGGCCTTGAGGTGGTGGCTCTCTTCTGTCTCTGCAGCCCCACCACCAGCGCCAGTATTCACGTGCTGCAGGAGGTCTCCATGTCACGCTACATCCCTCACCCTTTCTTGGTCGTGTCTGTCACGCTGACCTCCGTGAGCACAGAGAACGGGATCGCCTTGAAAATGCCACAGCAGGTACCAGTCCCAGTGGAGCTGCCAAGCTCTGTTTCCTTCTTAGTGTTTCCAGTTGATACCAAGAGCTGTTTTTTGTGCAGCAAATAAATACCAAGTATCTAGTGGGTGCTGCATATGAAGAGGCCTGGCCACAGTGGCACCCAAAGCTGGCCTGGCTTCCGCTCACACGTAATGACTCGCATGGCAAGGAAGCAGTGGACCAAAGACCCACAGACAGAACGAGTGCTTGACCCCTGAAGAGAATGAAAGATTCTGAGCATGGTGGGGCCCTGAAATGGGGAGGGAGTCTTATAGACTGCCGTGATAACATTAGGTGCATATGGTAAGAGCAGTGTTTTAAACTGGGACTTATGGATGTGAGCCTTACCAAGACCCTAAAGGACACAGCTTGGGAGGGCATACAGCTGGGAGGCTCTTGCAAGTGATCAACATGGGATGAACGTGAACAGGAAAAGATTGATGGCAAACCATGCAGTGGGGATGAGACTCCAGAACTCGTTAACTGCGAGGAGAGAGACAGGAGTCTGTCTCTTGCTCTGTGGAACGCGGCATTCCCGTAACATGCTGGGATCCAGTGCACTAGATACTTCAGCTGTGGGCAGTCCACAGCTTCCGGAGTCAGCCTTCCCATTGCACCTGTACTTGCCACATGCTACTGATGTGGATCTAAACTCTGATTTATAACAGCCTACCCCACCTGTCAAAAGGAGCCTTCATGGCACAGTCGCTAAAGCACTGGGCTGCTAACTGCAAACTTACTCGGTTCAAACCCACCAGCCGCTCCATGAGAGAAGGATGGGGTGGCCTACCTTTGGGAAGATGTCTAGCCTGCGAGTTTGGAATCTACTTGATGGCAGTGATTTCAGGGTGTGATCCCCTAGTTCTTAGCTCCCTCTTCCACATGGTGAGCCCCAAACTGTTTACAGACAGCTGTCCATTCCTTGGCACCCCTTCTGTCTTCTCTTCCACATGCCAACTACTCCCATGTCTCACACAACGTGAGCCTGGGCCCCCCTCTCTGGATGAACTCATTGCTTGTTTTCTCCTTTAAAACGGGGCTCCTGTTCCATTTCAAAATAGCTTTCATGGGGGCTGGCTCATCCCAGTTGATTTGGGAAAGTTGTGTTTTCCGGAAACACCCTGGCTAGTTAGGAATGTGGGGAAAGGGTACCATTCTGCAGCTCCTTTGGAAACGCCCCGAAGAAGCCTCGGGGCAGGGAGTGGGCGGGCCTTGGAGTGAGGAAGCCCGGAGCTCAAAGGAAGAGAACTTACATCACTGTCACCCTAATTCAAGACCTGCGTCTAGAGTCGTCTTCCAGTCAGGAAACAAAACGAGGGGCCAGAGCCCGGCTGAGTGACACCACAAGAGAGCCAGATGATGGCCCCTCGGTGTGACAGCTCCATCCAGCCAGTGGCTCGGGGAACGTGAGGGGACTCCTAGATTAAGTGAGACTTTAGGGCCATGACAGCCAAATGCTGGCCAGAAAGCTCTGTGTCCCACAGAGCCTGGCAGGATGCCTACTCAGAGCACGCCCTCAGTAACTGGTCAGGCGTTTCACCTGCCAACCTGGGACGAGCTGTGGCTGCTGGGGACTTTCGTAGACACGCAGACCCATGTGGTGTTGGTTTGCTCCAGGCTCAGGACGCGGAGAGCATCATGCTCAACCTTGCCGGGCAGCTCATCATGATGCAGAGGGACAGGTCCGGCCCCCAAATCCGGGAGAAGGAGAGCAGCCCCAACCCGAGGAAGCTTGTGAGTCCGCACATTGGGTGGGAGCTTAGGGGGTGGAGGGTGGGGGGTGTTGTAATCAGGAGCCTGAAAAGTGGCACTTAAAATCAATCCCAGCCAAGCCTCCGGGCCAAGAGTGACTATAAACTGGAGAGGAGGGCAAAGGAGGCCTTTTAAATAAGATGATCCTCCTCTGCTGGAGCACTGCTGCGTGCCAGTGAAGCTGGTGGACTGGGTTCCTTTTCCTTGGTTTGTTTTTAAGATTTAAATGACTATCCTGGGGTAATGGAAGGAAAAGATAATGGGATTTTCCCACAAACCTTTGTAAGGCCCCTCATACCCTGAAGGACAAGGTACTCTTACTGCCACTCACTCTGCACCAACGCCCCTTCCTTTCTCCTCCTACGTGGCTCGCTGACTGGCCTTGTCTGTGCCCCGCAGCTGCCTTTCTGCCCGCCGGTGGTGCTGGCCCAGTCCGTGGAGAATGTCTGGACCACCTGCCGAGCAAATAAGCAGAAGCGCCACCTGCTGGAGGCCCTGTGGCTGAGCTGCGGGGGCTCCGGCATGAAGGTCTGGCTGCCGCTCTTCCCTCGGGACCACCGCAAGCCCCACTCCTTCCTGTCCCAGCGGATCATGCTGCCATTCCACATCAACATCTACCCCCTGGCGGTTCTCTTTGAGGACGCCCTTGTCCTCGGTGCTGTCAACGACACTCTGCTCTACGACTCTCTGTGTGCCCGGGCCGCCCCGCGGGAGCCGCTTGAGGGGCTATTCCCCTTCTGCGTCGTGGAGCGGGCCTCGCAGATCTACCTCCACCACATCCTGCGCCAGCTGCTGGTCCGCAATCTCGGCGAGCAGGCCCTGCTGCTGGCCCAGTCCTGTGCTGCGCTGCCCTACTTCCCGCACGTGCTGGAGCTCATGCTGCACGAAGTGCTGGAGGAAGAAGCTACCTCTCGGGAGCCCATTCCCGACCCACTGCTGCCCACGGTGGCCAAGTTCATCACCGAGTTCCCGCTCTTCCTGCAGACAGTCGTCCACTGCGCCCGTAAGACGGAGTACGCCCTGTGGAACTACCTGTTCGCAGCCGTGGGGAACCCCAAGGACTTGTTTGAGGAGTGTCTGATGGCTCAGGATCTGGACACCGCTGCCTCTTACCTTATCATCCTACAGGTGACGTGGCCCAGAGGAATGGGCCTGAGCAGAGAGGTGTCCGCGGTCGGCGCGCGGGTGGCTCTTGTCTGTGGTGCCTGGCTGGTCTTCCTCAGGAGACTCAGTCTCGTCCAGTGTTGGGGATGGTCTCCGGGGTTGCCAGCACAGTAACCCTGCTGGGGTGTTGTCCCCACTCCCCCCTGGGGGCCCAAACGGGGACAGGAGAAAAGGAGGGTTTGCTTGGTAGTGGGCTGGCCTGGGCCCACCCCCAGTATGTGACGTGCTGTGGGATCGATTGCTGGGACCCTGGAGGGAAGTGGGGGTCAGAGCAGCACCTTCTCAGGCTCATCAGAATCGGGGTGAAGGTGGAGGCTAGCGTGGGGCAGACCTCCATAACACAGGGTTTCCCTCAAAAGACTGGGTGGGGGGTGTTCCAGCTCACTATGGAAGGGCTTCAGAAAGTTCTTGGGAAATTTGCATTCTCTCTTAAATTTGAAAAACCTGAAAATTTGTTTTTGTCAAAAGGGCTTGACCATTCTAGCAGTCTGGTATGGAGTTGATTGGCTATGCTCACTGATTGATAAATGGTGTTGACCTTGACTTAAGAAGCTGGTCAGAAACCGAGCTGAGACTCACATAGAAACTGCACCCTTTGCTTCCTGGTGCCTGTAGGGCAGCTCTCAAAGAAGCAGGAATTCTGAGAAGAGAATGGAAATTAGTGCATTCACTGTCATTCAGTTTCCACCTGGGCGGCCTCCTTTCTTACAGAGGTTTCTCAAACACCCCTGGCAGGCAACACACAACCGAGGCATAGAGGTTAAAGTGCTCAGCAACCCTCTGAAAGGTCAGCAGTTCAAACCCACCAGCCACTCTGCAGGAGAAAGATGAGGCCGCCTCCCTCCATCAAGATGACGGCCTTCGAAGTCCTACGGGCAGTTCTGCTCTGTTCCATAGGGTGGCTGTGGGGCAGATCCAAGTCAGGGAAGTAGGTTTGGTTTTAAGTTAATCAGATAATCACTACGATTGAACTTGTCTGTCTAGCCCCCTCCCATGAAGCCCACCGAGGATGAGTGGGATTGAGGCTGCTGAAGGGGCAGCAAGGCTCCCTCCCAGGGCCCAAAGCAAAGACCTTTGGGCCGCCTGCTCAGGCCGCACTGCCCGTCCACCCGTCCCAGGAAGCAGCACTTCCGCCAGGGAGTTAGGCAGGCCGAGCTTGAGAGTCTTGCTTTCCTGCCGACGTTCAGCGAGGACTGGCCTCCCTGCAGTCCCCGCATTTAGCTGAAGTGAGGAGCCTGGTGTGGGGTTGGATCTTTGTCTGGAGTCTCCTGGCCTCTGTCCCCCTGCTGGGCTTATGCCCACAGTGTTTGTCACTGCTGGCTTCTGCACTGGGGATGGAGAGAGAGAATTGCACCCTTTGCCATCTGAAAGGAATGTGTCTTGTGTTTGTAGAACATGGAAGTCCCTGCTGTGAGCAGGCAGCACGCCACCCTGCTCTTCAACACCGCGCTGGAGCAGGGCAGGTGGGGGCTCTGCCGACACATGATCCGATTCCTCAAAGCCATTGGCTCTGGCGAGTCGGAGACCCCTCCACCCACACCCTCTGCTCAGGTCAGTTGCATCCCTGGGTACAATGTGCGCCGTGGGCCAAGCCCCGGGGGCATCCCCCTAACTCCCGCACCTCATGTGTGACCACAGGAGCCCAGCCCCGGCGGCGGGGGGTTTGAGTTCTTCAGGAATCGCAGCATCAGCTTATCCCAGTCAGCTGAGAACGTCCCTGCAAGTAAATTCAGCTTGCAGAAAACGCTCAGCATGCCTACGGGGCCCTCTGGGAAAAGGTAAGCGGCTGCCAGAGGACTGGACAGCTGGCCGGGAGCTTCACCCGTTGGGGCAGAGACCCCCTCCCATTCCTCAACTGCCCTCTTGTGTCCTTTATGCCCCGTCTTCCTCTTCTCAAGACGGCTAACTTTAAATCACCAAGAGTAGGATCAGAGTAAAGCGGTCAGTGAGCCCGAAGTTCAGCCTCAAGCCTCTTCAGGTGCAGGGACTTGACTGTTCTTTCCAGCTGTACCCCTTTACCTGCTCTTCTGTGGTCCAGCACCTCAGTGCCCTCCGACTCCTCGGAGGGGCCTTTGTCAGACAGACCTCCAGCCACTGCAGGGCTCCACCTAAGGGGGCAGGCTCAAACCCAACTGACAGCCAATTAGCTCCCCTGGCTTCTGAGGCCCGGGAAGCCCTGCCTGTGTAATTGTGGGTTACCTGGGCCTTGGTCCTTGTCAGTTTGGCTTTACCTCCCTTGACACCCACACATACACACATTGTGTGTATGCCCTCACCACAGTGCCTGCCATACAGCGACCAGTGCTTGCTTCACGGACTCAGGGCTTGAGGTGTCACGGCCCCCCGTCACTGGCCACTGAGAGAGACACACACACACACACACACACACACAC